CTGCTTACCACCAATGTCTTATTTTGATTCAGCAGTATTGTTGGATGAAGCGGCCCGGACCAACCTTACATGACCACGTTCATGAGACTGGTTCCACCGATAGACATGCAACTACTTTTGCATAAAGGTTGCTGGCGGGTGTGTGTTTCTCCAACTTTAGTTGAATCGAATTTGACTGCGGCCGGTCCTTGTTGAAGGATAAAACATCAAACTTGATAAATCACCGTTGTGGTTTTGATGCGCAGGTAAGAACGGTTCTTGATAGAAGCCCGTAGCATCCACGTAAAACTTGCAGCAACAAAGTAGAGGACGTCTAACTTGTTTTTGCAGGGCATGTTGTCATGTGCTATGGTCAAGACATGATGTGATATACATTGTTGTATGAGATGATCATGTTTTGTAAAAGTTATCGGCAACTGGAAGGAGCCTTATGGTTGTTGCTTTATTGTATGAAATGCAAACACCATGTAACACTACAAAAAACACTTCCATGATGATACGTGTTTGTCACAGTAGGTCACGTTTTCTGTCATGCATGTACATCCATGACAAATTTATGACAGAACCAAGATAGTCATACCTGTGTTGTCGTAGAAGTGTTCCATGATATTACCAAAATTATCATCACGGAAGTGTCCACTTCCATGACGATAAATCGCGCATCATAGAAGTGCTTTCGTCAAGGGTGACCGACACGTGGTATCCACCGTAACAGGACACTGTTAAGCTATCGGGTCCGGTTTTGGATCCGATAACACATTAACAGCCTGGACCAATGGGAATTTTCCACGTGTAAAATTCTCATTGGCCGGAGGAAACATGTGTCGGCTCAATGTTCGGACAGATGTCATCCACTCATTGGACTGGAGGCGCCTATGATACGTGGACACGTGGCACGACCCAACAAAGGCCCATTCCGGTGAAAAGGCCGGCCCGTTTGACTTGGTCAAAAGGTAACGGGCTGGTGCACGGAAAGCCTGTTAATGGCATGTTTGTATATAGCCCATTTACGGCCCGCTTACTACCGGCCCATTACGGCCTATCGGAATTAAGCCCAGTAGCTTCATCTAGATCCTCCAATATGATTCCAGCCCGCTGTAACTTCCAGCCCATGTATGGCCCATTATGTCTTTCGGCCCATATGAGGCCCTTTGTAACTCTCGGCCCATTAAAGGCCCGAGATGAAACTGGCCCATAATGAACAGTGTATCGCTTTATACCCATTAACGGCCCATTATTCCGTCGGGCGTTTCTAGCCCGTGTTAACTTTCAGCCTTCTAAGGGCCCATTTATTCTTGGGCTCATTTCTAGAATTTGGTTAGATACGGCCCGTTACTGGCCTGTTCCATTTGTGGGCCAAATACAGCCCATGGTTATATTCGGCCCGTTCGTGGCCCGTTAACCCGTTGGGCTGTTTTCATAGTGTTATCAAATACGGCCTATTAACGGCCCGTTATGGACCACGAATAGTACGGCCCATGTTTGGCAAAATAATTATACGCCCCGTAGAAGGCCCATGGATCCTACGGCTCGTAGAAGACCAATGGATCCTACGGCCCGTAGAAGGCCCATGGATCATACAACCCATAGAAAGTCCATGGATCCTGCGGCCCGTAAAAGGCCCATGGACCCTACGGCCCGTAGAAGGCCCACGGATCGTACGACCCGCAGGAGGCCCATGGTTACAATAGTCCGTGTGTTGCCATGATTATTGTGGCCTAGTTACCAAAACTAGGTTATTGTGGCCACTAAAAAATGCGGAAAAAGAACTGCAGTGACTACAAGCAAACAACTAAAAAAGACAATAAGGAAATAAATAAGCAAGAAACTAACGCTAGCCTATTACAACTATTACACATATTACATCCACTGGGCATCAAAGTTTGCCACCAGTGCAAATATAGGGAACAAAGCAACATATTACATACACTGGCCATCAAAATTGGCCACCAGTGCAAATAAACGCAGCAGCAAAACAAGTCCATAATTGAAACAACTTTAGAAGAGCTCAAAAATGTTATCCTGGGTATCCACCATGCTGGCAATAAGCTTAGCAAGCTTATTAGCTTTGTCCTGTTTGGTGCTAAAATCCTCCAACGCTTGCTGTTGCACCAGAAAGTATGCATCTGAATGCTCCAGGGACTTCCGTAGTCCTGTCGCTTCTTGTTGTAGCACAGCTGATCGATGTCTTTCAGCTTGTAGTTGAGATTCAAGAAACCGAACTGATTCAGACAGTGAGTTTGAATAGCTTGTGCAAGCGGTAGTGGCCAGTAACTCGAACAGTAAACCAAGACAGGACTTTGGGGTTGCCTCACTATCTTCAAGATAGTTTTCCTTAGCTGTTTTATCAGCTTTGTTGGAGACCAACAAGGATGTCTCACGATCCTGAACCTTATTTGCACTACTTCCTTTATCATTGCTTAATAAGGCACTCTTCCCCAATATTATGTTAGCATTCTAAAAGAAGAAACAAGTAAACACATAACAGGTTTAGCATGTACTAGTATATGAAACTCATTTTGGTGAACCAGTTCATTGGTAAGGTGGACAAGATTAAACTACCAAGTCTTCTATTGCCAAGTAGTACATTATAAAAGCATCAAAAAAACATATATCTATGTCCTATGGTCACTACATTGTCTTGCCAAATCAAAATAGAGACACGGTTCAAATCATATCAGTTGAAGAGAAAGCAGCACTGAAAGAATACAAAACGTGAGAAACTAAATGGCACAACAAGATTTTAGATGGGTACCATGGGTCTACATGTACAACAACCCTATTGGCCCTGTTATGATGCTAGTATTGTGCATGATATGAGAAGTCAAATGTATACACAATTGAAATTGAAATCAACAGAGCTATTTATAAGAGCAAACCTATTAAATAAACATGCGTAAACATACCTGTTGTGCCATTGGAGTTTCCATTGGATAGTTCAATTTAAAAATAAGTTTGTATGAGTAAATATAGTGATACAAGAGCAAAGCAGTATGCACGATAGCAACAGAATCTTAAATGAGAACAGTTGTTCTTCAGGTTTAAGCACTTGTTCTACATGAACAGAGTATAGTAAGACGCAATCATATAGTACTTAAAATAAAATGAGCTCATAGACCTTACCACGTTCTTGGTTTGGGACCAGTAAAGAATAAGGCGTTCTCAGTCATCATCCAGTAAATATGTCTCATGAGAACGTAAGGGAATTTAATGAGTTTCTTTGCCACTAAAGTACATTTTTCTTCAGGTAATTTCGATACTGCCACCAAGCATTCTTGAAGATAGCAGAGGTATTAGTATAGATTACCTCATCCTGAGTTTCCAAATCGGTACTTCTCTATAGAGAAAAATGGGAAAATTTGTTGTATTATAACCATCATGGAGGTAGAATGTATGGGATAAATCAAAGTAATTGTCATGAATAACATTACTTACACATAACTCCTGGACAAACACCTGCAAGTGGCATTTTTCTTCATCTTCAATATAATATTTCCATGATGGGAAGATACGCACATAGGATTTAACAACATCAAATGCGATAGATGCTAAATTATGAATGGCTGGTTGTGCTTCCTCCACAAGAATATGTGTACTAACTGATGGAGTTGGGGTTCGTCGTGGTAGTACTAGCGCTTTGGGCACTGGAGCTGCCTTACTAACTGCTCTTATTTGGGAGCTCTATGGTGGAGATGGTGATGTGTCAACAGGAACTAGGTTACTATCTGCTGGGGTTGGGGTTAGATTGGGTGCAGCTGGTTCTGTGTCCATCATAGTAGGGGTAAAATCTGCGGGAGTCTGGGTTATGTGTGGTAGGACTGGTTCTCGTGCATGTACAACCGGTGTGCTATCTCCACCAAGAGGTAGCATTGTTTTATTTGAAGACCGTGTTTTTACTCCGCTAGATACTGCCATCACCCGCTCCAATTCAAATGGCTGATAAACAGGAAATATAATTGAATGTACAGACAATGTATGAGAGACATATGCAATAAATAGTGTGCAAAAAAGAGGGCATTAAATAATTGACATGTATATTGTTTAACTAAAACGGATAGCATATGACATAATTTCACATATATGCAGTCTATCTAAACTGGATAGCATAGCATAACATAATTCAAAGATATGATGACTAACTAAACAGGATCGCATGCCATAATTCACATACATGTTATCTAAGTAACCAGGATCGCATGATTTAATTCACATATGTGATTTATATGCTAAGCGGAGGGCATTCACATATATGATGTCTGAACTAAGAACATGGTGTTGAATATTGTGTATATGATGTCTAAACACTACTAGGAAAAAGCTTATATACAGTCACTTACTAGTAGCGCTCTTTATTTACCCATGCTACTGCTATTTACTAGTAGCGCGCTATAATGACCTGCGCTACTAATAAATATTACTAGTAGCGTGTGGCAAAAAATAACACGCTATTAATAAATATTTTCGACCATGCCCTACAGACAAAGTGTAGTAGTAGCGTGGGTTTTAAACCATCGATGTTGCTAAGGGCATGTACAATGGTGCTATCTTAGGAGTGCCCCGTAGGATAAATGATGAGGTGGAGGAGAGATAACTCATAAGAGAAGGCTTGTCTTCTCTTATTTAAGATAAGACAAGAGATGATCTCTTAGCACAATATGTCTCACCACATTTTTAGGAATTGCTAGTTATTCAAGATAAGACTAAGAAATGACCCATTGTAGACATTTTTCTTTGTCATCTCTAAATTACATGCAAAACTTAAGATAAAACTATCTTATCAACCATTGTACATGCCCTAAATGAATATCTGTAGTGCCGGTGTGAAACCCTGCGCTACCATTAGCCTTTCAGTCTTATCCCAGACCAGACAGCCCAATCCATTCCCACCCCAATCAACCGTCCCAGTCCACCCACTCCCGCACCCCACCCACCCCCGATTCACATCCCCTCCACCTCCTCTCCTCTCCTCTGCCAATGGGATCTCTCCCTTTCTCCGATCCATGCCGGGATCCTCCGCCGTGTGGCCGCACACGCGCACAGCCTTCCTCCACAACCCGGCCGACCAGGCCCATCGCGGCGGCCAGCCCGGGATGCTCCCCGCCGCGGCATGGAGGCGTGGCGGCACGGCGGCCCCGAGGGAGATCCTAGTGGCGGCACAGACGATATGGAGGAGGCGGTGTACGAGGTGGTGCTGCGGCAGGCCGCGCTGGTGGACGACCTGCGGGGGCGTCGGGCGGCGCGAGAGGTCGAGGCGGGGAGGAGCTCGACCACGACTTGGACCGGTGCAGGAGATCGACCACGACGATGGACCGGCACAAGAGCTCTACTCCAACACTGCTTCCCCATCTCTGGTCTTTCCTTCAAACTCCTGTCCCGGCGGCTGGATGATATACCTGTAAGTTGGAAGTAGGGATTCGAGTTGTTCCTGATTGCATTAGTACTTTAGTGGACATCATTTAATGAATACTTTGCTGCAAGAAAACTGCGAAGAAATTATCCCGGCGGCCGGCGGAACTTTGACTTTGTATATTTTCTATTGGTGAACCAGTGCGTATGCTGATGCTGATGATACCTCACTGCCTGCAATGTTCGGAGGATTCAACCACCCTGTTGAAGATTCCCAAGAAATTCTTACCTGCTGCAGGTTCGATTTTCTTGCCTTCAGTTAGTTTGAGAACAACCTTCTGATCATGTCTTCGGTGATATACTATTTATTTCTCTGTACGTAGCACTCAAAATATAATATATTGCTCCACGCTTTTGGGGAAAAGGTGCATTTGACCTGCACTTTCAAGAAAAGGGTGTAAGAAAAAATGTTTTTCTTTAATCATAATTTTTTGAAGAAAGTTCTGAAGTGACTGTAATTTATCACCAAAGTGCCTTCAGTGCTATATATGTAATTTTGTTCAAATTTCTATGATTGTATATCCTCGAGGGTTAAGTATTTTTAAATGTCTTGTACACTTCATCATTCATAAAAAGTGGGCCCAAATCCTTAAATCCCTGTGTAAGTCATTTGTTTTGGAATAACATTAATTATTTCATACTCTGATAGATATGTATGTGATATGGTGATACTTTCCAAAACACTGGCACATTTACATTAGATATAATAGAAATAGTTCTTCTGCACAAATGGACAACTATACTGGAAAACTTGGAATTACAGTTAAACATTGCCAAAACGAGCGACAGAATTCACAGAGCAATCCTGCTTAATTGCTTGCTTCCGTAATGGGCTCTTCACCTCACCACATTTGATGGATGTCCGGGAGCGTTCCGGCTAGATGGGTAATTTGTTCATCCATTCTTCGTGCTCTTATTTTTCGCTATTGTGTTGATAAGTGAGAACGTAGCTCACAATAATTTTATCGGTGCAAATGTGTTGCGCCATCTTTTTAGTTTATCCCTCCTTTTTTACTGAAAAACTGTAGGTAAGTCCTGATAGTTAAGGTCATTTAAATCCAGCTTATCTGGATGCTTAGGTACTATGCACGTACTGACCCGACCCTAACTTGTGATGCAACCAGGGTGAAATTTTTTGAACAAAAGTTATTTAAGTACTCCTGGTGTGCTGTTGGAATAAACTGAAGGTACATGTTCATAATTGTTTTCTTTCATGTGATGGAACTCTATCCTACGCGCATAGCAGTGATGAAACATAGCATACTCTTACCCTTTTTTCCAGATCAAGATGGTGGAGGCAGCCAGTGTCGTGCCCGAGCGCTGGGGAGCTTGCCAGCGTTGTGGTGGAGAAGGTCGGCCGCCTCCTCTCCCCACCAAGTCGCTTTGGTCCATAGATCGAGTTCATGGTGGATAAGGAAGGCGTGGTTGATTTCACCAAGCTGGATCCGTAGGTCCCGAAGTCCTATGGCATGAACCGGCCACGACGCATGCGGCTGGATGCACTTGCTCAACACCTTTCCATCTCTGCACAATCAGGTAGAGATTTCCTCACATGCGAAATATTATTTTCAGGTTGCCAAATAGTAGGCTAGCTAGGAACTATAGAAAGTGGATTGCTGAGTTTGCCAAGCATAATAGCACACCTATTATCAGATGACCTGAAGAGTATATCAAGCAAAGATGCTTTCAGATTTATGCATGCCTATATTAGGTCCCTATAAACTCCTGTATTTTTTCAATAGATTGCCACAATAGCTTCTTTAATGCACCTGTGAATTATCTTTTCTAAATATCAGGTAAATAGCTATGCACCAGTTTCATGGCAAGTGCCTTGATGTCTACATATAGCAGTGTATGATACTACTACATCAATCGTTATACTGCTCATACAAACATCGCTTAGAGCAGTAGTGTTCTCTGAATGAAATTATTATCTGTCCCACAGGGTTCTTGATAAAACTTATTCTGAATTTGAGATGGTTGTACACTGTACATACATTGGCAGTGGAAGCTAATAGATCGACAATTGATACTTCTTAGTGCAGCATTGTAGCTTTATTTTTACACGATCAGATTACCTTTGGTATGCAGCATGCATCCAAATTATGTTGTATATCTACAGTAGTAAATGTATCATCTTAAGAGTGTACTGAAGCTTTATTACTTTGTAGCTCGAATTTTAGGATTTCTCCATGGTTAATATAAGTTATGTAAAGCAATGTTTACCTGGAAGTGTAACTATAGTGCCATTCTTGTCTTTTAATGTACAGCTACGGTGCTGCTGCACTTGTGCTAGTCAGTGGGGAGAAAGCTAAGAACCTTGGTCTTCAAGTTCTTGCTGATGTTGCGCAGGTAAATCTTACATGCCTTGTCATTAATCATTGTTGGTGAAAAAAATGTCACTTGAGAAATCTCAGCCCATTGTTCTTATTAATGAGTACGGTTACCCACATTATCCTGACTCATATAATGATATTTTCTTTAGGATTCATGATTTTTTTTCTTTTTTCTTGTTACTATGAGTTCATTGTATTAAGATTCCTTGCAACTTCAGGCACCTGTGCTATTTACAGAAGGAGGGGACCCGGCCTTCTTCATATCTTGCGGCACTGTCTTCCTTTGATTCGTTCATGCAACAAGGAGGGTACATAGCCTTCTTCACGTCTCGTGCAACAAGTAAGGACTAGCCTCCGGCTGTTACTATTGATGCATGTGCATGTTCTAAAAAGAAAGAAAATACCCTACTGGATTTGAACGCTGACGTGTACTAACAAGTTTTCACTTTCCCGACGTGGCCGTAGGGGTGATTGACACTGACTATGGCAGCTTGTTGGGCGTCGTGCTCTTCAACCACTTAGAGGTAGACTTCGACGTGAAGCCCGGCGAGCGCGCCGCATGGATGACCGTCCATGTGATCGCGACGCCGGATGTCGCTGAGGTGGAGGACCTCGATGCCATCTTTCGTGGTGAGGGAGGATTCGGGTCCTCCGGCGTCTGAACTCTGAGCCCTGCTAGATACATGTAGAGAAGTGGTATGTTTAGGCTGCTGGTGGAACACTAGGGAAGGTACCCACCTTTGGTTGTGTGCGTTTACTGATAAATGGAATCTCGTGAACTATTGGAGTTGAGATGTTCAATGTTGCATCCATGAACAGTGCAAGTGTTAAGATGATCCTGTGACCTTAATTTATTTTGCACTCGACGTGTCTCTGATCTTCGTCTATGAATACTGCATCTAATTTTTAATTTTTTGAAATTCTTAATTTGTTAGTAGTAGCGTGGGGCGAAAATGTGTGCTACTAGTATTTATGATACTAGTAGCATGAGTATAATATAAGCGCTACTACTATTTTGTTACTAGTAGCGTGGGTTTCAAATAGTAGTAGCGTGGGTGGCACCTGCGCTACTACTAACTTTTTAGAAGTAGCGCGGGTGCAACCCACGCTATTATTAACTTTTAGTTGTAGTGCGATACTAGTAGCGCGGGTACCCGCGCTGCTAGTAGCCTTTTCCCTAATAGTGAAACTATGCAATGCAAGACACCATATGCATGATATGAGCAGTAGAACCGTGCCAAGTTAGAGCATACACCTCAGTGAGGGAATATGACTGGTCATCTGTCTCCGAATCCATCTTTGAGGAGCTATCGGGACCCAGCAAGAGATCTGCTTCGACAAGTAGCACTGTCTGCTCTGAAGGCCTTGTTTTCACTCCAGATTTTTCCATCACTGTCACACCCTAGCTAGTTCATGCACTAGAGTTCTTGCATCATGTTTATCATTCATCAGAAAGTTGAAATGGGGATGACAGAACCCCCAGCCCCCTCTGAAACCAACTAGGGTTTACTAAAAATAATTCCAATGAACCTGAAATGCCCTTCTAAAATGTCCATCATTTTTGTCTTGGTCCAGAACCTCTACAAAAAATGGTGCACAATTTTCTAGGTCATCCTAAGGTCACTGAATTAAATCATAAGTATTTGAATTTGGACATTTAAATTCTATAAGATATTTTAAATGTCCAAATAATCCTAAACTAAAATGTTCCATGCTGGATATATTCCAGGTAGTGGACATGAGCAGTTTGGTGATTTTTGGAGTTGCCTAGGTATTTTTAGAAAAGCAAAGTTACAGAAGAAATAGAAAACAGAAATAAAAAGAGAGAGAGAGAGAAACTTACCTGGCAGCCCAACACCAGGCCCACCTAGTCGGCCCAGCCCAGCAGCCGCTCCAGTGAGCTGCTTGACTTGGCCAGGCAGGCAGGCAGGTGCTCGACGCCGGCACCAGCACGCGCCACGCAGCTGCCCGCCGCCCTGCTTCCTCCCCTCGCCGCTCTGCTGGCCTGGACGACCTCCACGTCGCGCCCTGACCCCCTGGACACGTCCATTCTCCCCCTGCCTCTCTCCCTCGCTCCCCTCCGCCATGGCCACCGCTGCCGCCGCCGTTCCGCTGCCGTAACCGTAGCCATCATCGTCACGGTGTCGCTCCACCGTGTCCAGAAGCTCCGCCACTCCCTCCTCGACCGTCCCATCGAGCCACGCCCCGCCGGAGGCCCCCGAGCGTCTCCACCGAGCTCGTCTTCAACCTCCCGACGGCCAGATCACCTCCGCCGCCCTGCTTGTTCCGGTTCGTCTCCGACCTCGTCGTCCGCCCTGTCGCAACCACCGTGAGCTGGGCCACCTCCTTATCGTCTCCGCTCTCCTTTCCGTGCACCAAAGCGAGCACACCGAGTTCGTCCACACGCGCCACCATGGAGCTCGTCGCCGACGAGGCTCCGGCCACTCAACGACCGCTCAACGCACTAACCCACGCGCCTCGTCGTGCCCCCTAGCGATGAGTCCGAGCTCACCCGAGCTCCGGCCGCCGCCAAACCCGTCGCTGGCGCTGTTTCTGGCGACCCCAAGCCCAACCACCTGCACCACCCGCCGCGGCTCGCTCCCAGCTATCCATAGAGCACAACGACGCCTTGACCGGTGCCCTGTAGGTGAAACCCGCACCTGCACCGCCGCGTTTGGCCTCGCCGGTGGCTAAACGCCGGCGAGTTTGACCCCGCCGACCCCATTTGACCATGGGTGGGCCTAGTTTAACCTCCCCTGGGTCAATGACAGGTGGGGCCCAGCCGGCTAACTAATCCAGGATTAGTACTAATTGAATTTAGTTAAACTAATTACACTGACATGCGGGACCCACTGCCAGGTTTGATCTGGACCGTCCCGTTGACCACTGGCGTCATCCTGACGTAATGCTGACGTAGTAAATTATTTACTGGAATTATTTTTACACAGGAAATTCCAGAAAATACCACAAACTTCAAAAAATCATAGAAATTAATCTGTAGCTCCAAATGCAAAGTGTTATATATTAAAAATGATTAGAAAAATCCAATCTATCCATCTGTACTGGTTTGATGCATGTTTAAGCAAGCTAACCTGCTGTTTAGTGCAGAATAAGATAAACCACTATTAAGGGCCATTTATGAGTTTGAAACTTAAATCTTTGGTTCAAAATGGTTCAAACCCATCTGGTCTTAGTTGCATTAGCCCAATACACTCATTTTGCCATGTCTCATGCATGCATCATATTGTTGCATATTGCTTGGTGATGATTGTGTATCGGTGTGTCACGCCCAATATGCGATACTATCCTAAAGAGACTCGAAGGTCCCACCAAGGATAGAACCGCATATTGAAACGCTTTTGCAAGGTGGATATCATTACATCAACTTTACATAATAGATGGGGATACATACAAAAGGCATACAATACCACACGAATACAACATCACAATACATAAGAGCATCATCCGACTACGGATGAATCACAAACAGAAACTCAAACGACATCCACCCTGCTAGCCCAGGCTGCCGACCTGGAACCTATCCCCTGATCGAAGAAGCAGAAGAAGAACTCAACGCAAGCAAGCATCGCTCTCGCGTCATGATCATCGCATAACCTGTACCTGCAACTGTTGTTGTAGTAATCTATGAGCCACGAGGACTCAGCAATCCCATTACCATGGGTATCAAGACTAGCAAAGCTTAAAGGGAAAGAAAGGGGTAAAGTGGTGAGGTTGCAGCAGCGACTAAGCATAATATGGTGGCTAACATACGCAAACAAGAGCGAGAAGAGAGCAAAAGGAATGGTCGTGAAGCTAGCAATGATCAAGAAGTGATCCTGAACTCCTACTTATGTCAAACATAACTCAAAGACCGTGTTCACTTCCCAGACTCCGCCGAAAAGAGACCATCACGGCTACACACGCGGTTGATGCATTTTAATTCGGATCTGGTGTCAAGTTATCTACAACCGGACATTAACAAATTCCCATCTGCCTATAACCACAGGCACGGCTTTCGAAAGATTATACCCTGCAGGGGTGTCCCAACTTAGCCCATGATAAGCTCTCGCGATCAACGAAGGATATACCTTCTCCCAGAAAGACCCGATCAGACTCGAAATCCCGGTTTACAAGACATTTCGACAATGGTAAAACAAGACCAGCAAAGCCGCCCGATGCGCTGACAATCCCGATAGGAGCTGCACATATCTCGTTCTCAGGGCAACACTGGATAAGTCAAGCTACGAGTAAAACCAGACCTCGAGTTGCCCCGAGGTGGCCCCGCAGGTTGCTCGGTTCGGACCAACA